GGCGGTTGGCCCACCGAACACCAAGTCCTACCATCCACGTCTCGGGTTGGCCCGTGTCCTTACCCGGTTAGGTTCGGATCACGACGCCGTCCGAAGATTCTACGAAGAATGCATCACTATGGAACCCAACCTTCATGACGCGTACATAGAACTGGGGGAAATCCTGGTTAAATCGGATCCCTTAGGAGCAGTTGAGGTGTATTCGAAGTATCCGTTCCCAGACCCCTTGACCTATGATGACGCGTATCTCCATGGCGAAATTGCGCGACTCTTGATTAAGCACGAGAAGTTGGACGATCCGCGGTTAGGTCCAAGCATGATAGCATTGGGCAAAGTGATGGGTTTCTCTGTCCTAGAGAAATACGTGGACATTCTTGATAGTAAGTTACAATACAGTAAGTTATTGATGCAGATTTATGCTCAAGTAAACGGGAAGAATGTCGATGACCCTGATTTGCAACAATTCTTTAAGTTTAAATGTTGGATATAGATTACATTACTAGCTGTTGCCAGCGTTGTGATATGGGCGATAGGATAAGTGTGAAGTCAGGTTCGAGTAGTTTTTTAGGTTTTACTAGAACACACGTTCTTTCACTGTGCTTTTATAAGTTTAGAAAGTCACCGGCAAAGAGTTTTACACTTTTTTATAAGAGAAAAGATTGTGTGTGGTGTGCTCTATATTCTATATTCAGTTGTGCTTGGACAAGCATTGAGTGTGTTAATAAACAAAATCAAAGGCTGGTAATTTGGTATTTTAATATATAAAATAACGTTTCGTAGTATGATTATACATATTATAGGTACATATCAGAATATCTCACTTGATTCAACTATAGTGTTGAAACATGTTGTAGATGGAATCGCAGGCTCGATTCCTGCCAGAGGACCTTTCAAAATTCCGAGGTTGGAAAAAAAAAAATGAAAATTTTTTCAAAATTCCGAGGTTGGAAAAAAAAATGAAAATTTTTTCAAAATACCGAGGTTGGAAAAAAAAAATGAAAAATCCCGAGGTTGGAAAAAAAATATGAAAATATATAGTTGTATTTTTCACAACTGCTCCTGGTTAGATCTAGATAAAAGCATAAAATTGACACTCGAAATCTTCATCTACAAAATGCTTCATCGTTATACATAGGTACTATACAAAACCTTTGTAATTATTATTATTATATGTGAAACAGTCCCGTTATACAAGGTTGTAGTATGCAAACACAATGGCTATTGAATTATATATTATAGGACATACTATGCACTATTTTGCCATCATCATACTCGCGACAAAATAGGAAAAGCATATAGTTATCTAAATTTAACCCACCTGACATTATGTATAATTAGACAGTTTCGTGAACAAGCATTGTTGCATAACTACTTCATAGAGTTTTGAACTCATGTTATTGTTTCTTTGCCTTTTCCAGTAATTCATACTCCAGTTCAAGAATACGAAATTCTAGAACTTCGTTATTTTCACGTAAAGTTTGTGCAGTAGTCTCTTCTTTGATAATCGTCGCTTCCAAAAGATCCATCTCCGACCGCAGTTTCTTCTTGTCCATTTCAAGTAACATGATTTTACCTTCGAACTGTTTCTTTTCTCGTTTCCACAGCGCTTCCTCGCTAGGATGCTGCTTCAAACAAGAATATTGTGGCGGACGTGCTGTTTCTGCCTCGGGCTGGGGGCTACTTGTACTCGGACCCCAAAGTTGCTGTTCCGCGTTGAAATGAGCGCTCTGGGTTGGCTTCTTAATTTCTTGTGTTTGTACGTCACCCCAACGGACTTTCTTTTCTACGTGTCGTGCAGATAGATTGCTTTCGGTTTCATTTAACCCCTCGGCCCAGTCTCTTCCGAGGTCATCGTGACTCTTCCTCGTACCCAGGAATAAATCGCTCGACTTTTGATTATTGGCGGGAGATGGGCATCCTAACTCTTCGCGTATTGTTTGCAAAACTAATTCCAACTCGACATTTTTTGCATTTTCACTTGAACATTCTTGCTTGAGAACTTGCACCTTCTCTTTTTCTTCAATGAGTTTTTCCTCGCTTGATTTTAAAGCAAGTTTTAGTGATTTATCCTCCTCAGAAATCTCATCAACTTTGCGCTGTAAATTGCGCCGAAGTTCGTCAAGACAGCACACTCGGTTGTCAAGTACCTTGTTTTGGCGTATGTGTTTTAGCAGCTCTTCGTTTTGTTGAGCTAGCCGTGCCTCCGACTGTTCCCGGCGTTCGTCCGAACTTTCAACGAAGGTGGAGAGCTTCTCAATTTGTGTTCGCAATCTATTGATCTCTTTCTGCTGGCTCTCAGAGTATGTATCAGACTTGAGATTGATTTTTAATGGCGTCATGTTATCTTTGTTGCATCCATATTGACACCTTACGTATCCATTCTTATCCTCAGTATTCATACGTTGGTCCTCGTGGTACACTTTTGTATCTTTAAGCCCATTAATCTCCCATTTCTTATTGGTCGTTTTAGTCGCATTGTCACCCTTCCTATCCCCAAGAATCTCCTTGTATCTATCATCATCACAGTTCGTCTTATCCATCAAACGTCCTGCATTATCCCCAATGATCTTTGTCTTTTCCATCAAATGTGCTGAATTATCGCCAATAGTCTTCGTTGTTTCGGTTAGAGAGACTTTCTGGTTATTCAGTTCTCCGCTCAAGTAGAAATACTTTCCCTCGAATGGAAAAATGGCGTTTTTAAACGCGTTGAAGTACGACTTTGTCCCCGTTTTATCCTTCGCCATTTCTGTGTCTCGTTCTGGTGTAATTCCCAAAGTTTCTTCGTTGTTTTTGGAGGCAGTTTCGCCGTTTGTTATACTATGAAGCTCGGCTGTGTTAGCACATACGCTTGTGTTATTCTCCAAATAATATGCAGTATATTTGTCCGACGTTTCGCTGTTTTTACTCAGCCAATCAAAGACGTCCGCTTCAATATTACGTTGCGGTTCCAGTTCAAATTTAGGCGACATATTACCTTTTTCGGAGTCAACTATTTCAAGAGCGCGACTTGTGTGGTAAACATTTCTCGCTGTGAAATCACTACTTGTAGATTTTTGTTTTCTGTTGTCATTCATCCGAAAAGATCTGCTTCTCTTGGTTTGAGATACTGGAATTCTGCTGCCCAGTGATAGTTTAGTTTCATTGTTTGGTTTTGACCAGTGTAGCATATCGTTGAGCTATGTACCGAATCCTAAAAAGGGGCAGCAGAGCGATATATGTTATAATTGGAGACATGACACAATATTGTAAACATTTGCCGACAGAAGTTTGTATATTTTCGAGGGATTTCGATAGACAGCTTTCCTGCATTTCTTAATTTTTTTGTAAAGTTATTTTTTGGCATGCATAATTTGCGGTTACGCGATATTAGATTTTCAGAAACAGCTGTGGCAACCACACTAATTTAATTTTAATTACCATAGGTATATATACGGTACTCATAGGCATAGCTTTTGCTCGAATTTTCATGGTTTTCTAAAGTTTTTTGTGGGGGGGGGGGGAGTTACCTCCCCTGCCCCCTGACTTGTACACTTAGACCGTCGTTTCTCACCCATGGCCATGGGGAATCAAAATTTTTTCATATTTTATTTCCTTCCTTGCACAGGCAAATTACAATCAACTTATGTTATTCGAAACAGTTCGTTGTTCCATTGATATTGTGTATATTTATATCAATAGGAACAAAATTAATTGATTCATGCTTGTGATTGCATACAGAGCAAACGTTGTTTCAAAACAACGAGGATGAAGTTGTAAAAAAGTTATAAAGTGCATTACGAAATCTACAATTTTTACCGATCTTTTGAGATCGTAGGGTAAATTATTCTAAGCCACTACACCCCTTTAGCAAATTTGTTTTTCTTGAAAGTTTTTTAATAAGTATGTGTATAAATAGCATAACAAGGCTAATCCTTTCTCAAGCCACGTGCAAAGCTTATAAAACTGGCCCTTATCTGTAGTCTATTGAATACTTAATCTTAAGCCTTGGGCTTGGCTCCCCCACACACGCACTTAATTAAATCACAGATTTTATAAAATCTGCGGGTGGACCATAAAATCTGTGCGCAGGCTGAATATTATAAAATCTGTGCGCAGGCTGAATTTGCAAGATGTACAATCTTAGTAAATTTAATCAGGATTTAATTAAAATTTTACGCGATATTTCTTGCGTCTATGAATTCTCGGCTAGACCTGGGTTGGGCATGTTGGTTAAAATTGTAGAACCTATTTCAAAATATCTGTGGAAATATCTATGGAAATATTTACTGGGCTTATATTTGAAATATTGAGGTGACTCTTAAAAACTCTGTTTTAGCGACGTGTAACTATAATAAATTCAAAACAATGAAATCGCTGAGATATAAAATTAACTTTGGTAGGCCAGCCAATAGATAGCCCGGAGCAGTCTAGAAATCTAAAAGTGCGAGTCAGAATCCTGCTCGAACAGTATCCTGATTTTTCGTTCTTAACTTTTTACTTCTTATACGTCGAAAGAATTTTTTATCTCTGAATATGATTTTGTGATACGGAATTGATAAACATATCCTTTTTTACATCCTCATGTTTTGTCGTGTCCTCTCGCCATGAACTAACTTCATAAACAAACACATTCAGTTTCAATGCATAAAAACTATTGACGTGAAAGATGTTTACATCTCTACTTACCCGCATTACGAACAACGCGCATCATTATCATGAAAAATTGACACACTTGCTTACCTCAGTAGTAGAGGATCAGTTGATTTTTACTCCGTGTAAAGTTGAAAGATTGTTCTTCAAAAATAGCAGCCTAACTCATATTCTATCAATGTATCTGTCTTGCATGACCTGCTGCCCAATATGAAGTCATAAACTCAACGGTCGTTTTCATACAAGAACACCAGACAAGCGAAGAAACGCATCAGTGATTTAAGCCAACACTGTTCCCGTTCGTTACAAACTATACGAGTGCGGATATATAACGCTTGGAAGATGTTTATTTCCTAATATTGGCCCGTTACATTTTGTAATTTGAGGTCAAAAGTGATTTCGTGCAATGGAAGATAAATGTTTGGATAAATGTATATTCTGAGCACCAGATTATGAAACAACAGGTTGCGGATCCCGTCAAAGATCTTTGTTAATTTACTACTTTTATTTAGCTAATCTCGCACACTCTGTCAGTGTAGGTAGTGGCAATAATAAGAAAGCTTCGGATTTATAGGGATACAACTACCGGAAAAATACAAGGAGAACTTCGACGTTTCGAGCGAAGGTCCTTGGTCGAAAAGTTAGTAGGGCTTTCGCTCAAAACGTCGATGTTCTCCTTGTATTTTTCATGTAGTTGTATCGCTATCAATTCGCAGTTTTTTATCTATAGCCAACTTTATTTTATATATTGCTGGTCTATCAGTTTTGAACTATTCTCCCCAGAGGTCTAGTAAGAGTCATCCCTTAAGGTGGAGTTACACGAGCAACAAAATCTGATTTCAACGCATGTTAATTGAAAATGTTTACACATAAAATACAATTCACAAGGCAACATGTGTCGACATTTCTACTTAACGTGCGTTGAAATCGGATTTTGTTGCAAGTTGCAGCAATTTTGTTGCCCGCGTAACTCATAGTGTGTAATTTCAGCCTTGCTGATTTAAGTTGGTTTCTTCGGAGCATAAACCTGCTGTGTTTAGCAGAGTAAAACTGGAAGCACCCTTCTTTTCAAGCATGCTAAACACGCGAATAGCGTGATTGAACTCTTGTGGCAATTTCTAGTTCAATGATCTGAAGCATTTCACAGAATGAATTTTAAGAATAGGAAGTCAAAGGCAGCAGTTGACCACAATTTTAGACCTCGAATTTATATAGTTTATTATTATAAAAATATCCAAATAATTATGTGCTATTTACAATGTTTACAAGTTAATTTTAGTCTAGGGAAGCCAAAGTCTGTGCACAGTCTAATTTTAGTCTAGTTTTATAGAAAACGACACACCGCACGAACAACCCATCTCAGCTCGAGGATTGTTAACAACTTGAAATGATGAGCGTATCAGTTCCTGGCTGTAGTCAATTTCAGAACCTTTTAGAATATCCAGTGACATTTCATCTATGACCACTTTAGCACCGTCTCTTTCAAATACTCTGAAAGATAAATTGTGATATTACACATTGAGAAATAATTTATGCCCAAAAATGAATACTTGAATCTATCTAAACAAGCATTTCGCCATTTCATGAAGCAACTTTCAATCTGTGATTGCGGTTTTTTCCAGAATTGTTCTTTCCTGAAGACCAAAATAATTTAATTTGGTGCGATGTGTTCCAGGGGATGGAGGTAGCACTAATCATTAAATATTTGTGTTTATGAGTTTTCTGTGCAAACCAGACATTAAATGGTATTGGTTCGCACTAGGGGAGTAGGGCAGGGGTTCAAATTACAATCGTGGAAGATATCACGATTATTGAGTTCATTCTTACTTGTCATCATCCTGCAATTTTTCATCCAGTTCAAATTTGTATTGAAACCCTGAACAGCCTCCTCCCTCCACAATTACACGAAGAAATTTGTCTGCTACACCAATCTTGTGCAGTTGCTGAAATATATTAAAGAATAATACAATAATATATCAGTCTGAATTTAATACTGACAGTCTAGTCATATAAACTCACCAACCTTAACGCAGTTATCACTGAGACTCAATCCTTCATCTTGTGTTTGTTCAGTATTTGTAGCAGTACTTTGATATAAAAGCCCAGAATAGTGTTTAAAACCAGAGTATTTTGTGCAAAATGCCGATAAAACTCTTGGACGAAATAATTTTGAAATCGTTATTTTGGTCGCCATATTGTTCTCCCCAGTCTCTCACTCCACATGTGCTTCCACATCAAAGAAATGTAAATTTCCACTAATAGACAGGGGCGCATTGCAGCTTAATAAATTATCTCCCTAACATCAATAATATTCAAAATGATTTATTTCTTGTTATCTATTTAACAGCCTAACTATTTATAAATTACATGATTTTACTGTGTAAAAGGTACACTGATAATTAAGGACTCTGAGAGCTATGCATGTTTTTGAAATTGGTTGTATTGTTCATTGTAATTTAATCATGCAACTGTTTTATACATTATAAAAAATATTTTATGTCGTGTGAATGCCATTGAGAACAAAATTGCTAGACAGAATTACCGACAGAATGAGACATCATTGATCAACATATAAGTGAGTTTTATAAATAAGCACTATTACTGTCGTTCCAATTAAAGTGTTCCTCAAATATTGATTCAATACATTACCTCTGGCTGACCAATTCATTTGATCAAGTTCCTCGAAATATTCATACACTTCCTAGTATAATTGTAAACTTCCTGTTGAATAGTTTGAATGCACCAATCACCTTTGTTGTTTGTGCAACTAACCAATCATAAATAGAAAGGAAGTGACCAGAAATTATCAAATACTTGGAATTGGCTCTTTCACAGGAAGTGTATGAATATCTCGAGGAACTTGATGAAATGAATGAGGTAATGTATTGAATCAATATTTGAGGAACACTTCAATTGGAACGACAGTAAGTACAACCATGGATAATAAAATAAATTTATTTTATTTTTTTTATTTTATTTATTTTATTATCCATGGTACAACAGATGGTGTTCAACCTGCAGTTATCAGAGCGAGAGCTTTTCAAGTATTTTTATAACGGTTGAAAAAATCACTATCCAGTGGATAGTGCTATCCAGCCATCGTACAAACGACCCTATGTGGACCAAATAAATCAAAATGTTATAGCGCTTCTAAATATTTGGAAAACTTAAACCAGGACCAAAGTTATCGGTCAGTGAAAATCGAGAAATCGCGCCACATTGGCGAATCGCGTCCAGTGTGTCTAGCTCGACCTTAACATCTCGCCCTTGCAGGCGCAAGCCCTTGCCGCCTTTCGTGTCTGCCGCCCGCCCTTTTTGACACCAATGTTCATGGGTGTGTTCTCCTCAGTGATACTGTAAAGAGACGCTGGGGACAAGTCAGTTTGCGAAGTTGATC